AAACACAAAATAATAAATATTGGAGAGGTTGTGGAGAGACTGGAACACTTATACACTGTTGGTGGGAATGTAAAATGGTACAACCACTTTGGAAATTGATTTGGCGCTTCCTTTAAAAGCTAGAAATAGAAGTACCGTACGATCCAGCTATCCCGCTCCTTGGAATATATCCTAGAGAAATAAGAGCGTCACAGAATTAATATAGTCACACCCATGTTCATTGCAGCACTGTTTAAAATAGCAAAAAGATGGAAACAATCTAGCTGCCCATCAGCGGAAGAATGGATAAACAAATTATGGTATATCCACACAATGGAATACTACCCAACAATAAAGAACAACAATGAAGCCATGAAACATCTTATAACATGGAGGAAGATGGAGGTCATTATGCTGAGTGAATTTAGTCAGCCACAGAAGGACAAATATTATGTAAAGACCACTATTATAAGAACTGAAGAAAATGTTTAAACACAGAAGAAAACATTCTTTGATGGTTACGATGGTGGGGAGGGAGGGTGAGGGTTATTTACTAACTAAATAGTAGATAAGAATTATCTTGGGTGAAGGGAAGGACAGCACACCCTGTAGGAGAAGTCAGCACAACTGGACTAAACCAAAGCTAAGAAGTTTCCTGAATACAACCAAACAGTTTGAGGGACTAGCAGGGGTAGGGTTCTGGGGACCATGCTTTCAGGTGAGATCTAAGTCAGTTGGCATAACAAAGCTTATTAAGAAAATGTTCTGCATCCTACTTTGGTGAGTGGCGTCTGAGGTCTTAAAAGCTTGCAAGTGGCCATCTAAGATGCATCAATTGGTCCCAACCACATGGAGTAAAGGAGAATGAAGAACACCAAAGACACAAGGAAAGTAGTAGCCCAAGAGACAGAAAGGGCCACATGAACCAGAGACTACATCACCCTGAGACCAGAAGAACTAGATGGTGCCTGACTACCACCAATGACCGCCCTGACAGAGAACACAACAGAGAGCCCCGGATGGAGCAGGAGAAAGGTGGGGTACAGAACTCAAATTCTAGTAAGAAGAGCAGACTTATGGTCTGAATGAGACTGGAAGAACCCCGGAAAGCATGGCCCCTAGATTCTCTATCAGCCCAGAACTAAAACAATTTCTGAGGCCAGCTCTTCAGACAGGGGTTGGACTGGACTGCAGGACATAAAGCGACACTCATGAGGAGTGTGTCTCCTAGCTCAAGTAGATACAAGATACTAAACGGGCAGCTTCTGTCCGGAGGTGAGATGGGAAGGCAGAGAGAGCTAGGAGCTGGTTGAATGGACATGGGGAATCAAGGGTGGAAAGAAGGAGTGGGCTGTCACTGTATGGGGAGAGCAATTAGAGTCACATAAGAATGCATGTATAAATTTTTGTATGGGAAAAAATTAAAAAAAGAAAAGAAGTAAGGATAGCAAGACTTTATCTCATGTACTTTGGACATGTTATCAGGAGGAGCCAATCCCTGGAGAAGGACGTCATGCTTAGTAAAGCAGAGGGTCACCAAAAAAAAAGGAAGAGCATCAACTAGATGGACTGGCACAGTGGCTGCAACAATGAGCTCAAGCATAACAATTGTGAGGATGGCACAGGGCTGGTTAGTGTTTCATTTTGTTATACGTAGGGTCACTATGAGTTGGACCCAACTCAAAGATATATAACAACAACAACTATTTATTATAAAGTTGTATCTATGCTATCTAGCACTTCTCAGACTTTAATTGGTATTCAAATTACCTGAGGATCATGTCAAAATGCAGAGTCTTACTAAGTCTGGAGAGGAGCCTCAGATTCTGCATTTCTAAGAATCTCCTGGGTGATGCATGTGCTGCTGGTCCACAGCCTACACCCTGAGCAGTAAGATTCTAAGTAACAGTTGAGATATGAATATTATACCTGCGTCTGGAGGCATTCAGTTTTATTTTCTTCTTGGCAACATGACTGAATAGCTGTCTCATAGTAAGCAGATAAGGTCAGAAGAGTGGGTCCATACAAGAATGGATGCTTTCTAGAAGTTTCATACATGTACCTGTAATTGGACAAACACAAAGTTCTGTAATTTGGAATTCAAGAACATTTGCTGACATTGTTTCTTAAAAACTTAGGATGTGTTCAGTTTTGTTAATTTGAATCTTCTAGGACCTCATGGTGATGAAAATGAGGTAACACTATACTTAAATGCATCAAATGTTTACCCTGGACAAATCCCTGGGAGGTTGATCATACACTCCCTGAGTGCCCATGAAGTGGGCACCTTCCTGGCTGATGGGGAAGGAAAATCAGTAATTTAAATATTTCCCTTCCATATAGGAGTGGGAGGGAGAACGTTAAACAGTCTCAGTGAATTGTAAATACTGAATTGTAAAGCTGGTGCTGGTGAATTCAATTTTGAAAGTATTGAAAGGTAGAGAGAAATCTCTCCAGCTCATGCAGAAGTTCTTTCTGTACTTAGTAATTACAACCCAACAAACACCAGTAAAGACCTTATCTAAGGTAAATTAATGTCATTGTTCTCCAAGATATATCATTCAATATTTTGGTTTAAATTACCAGTCTTTATTTCCCTCTCTCATTCATTCTTCACACTCAGCATAGAGCTTGAGCACCAGATCCACCTTTCATCTGCAATCATCTCTCTGCATAGCAGTCTGAAAAGCTTGTTCACTTACTCCCTACACACACACACATACATACCCAACAACATTTTATATTACTGACAGAGACTATCTTGATGCTCACACCAATCCATTTTCTCTTCCTTTCTGCACAAGGAGACTAGTTTCTCAGCATCCTTTGCAGTTATGTCAGGCACATATAACTGAATCTGAATTTAGGCTTAGACATAAATTTCTTCACACAATTCCCTACTCTCTCTCTCTTTCTGTTCCACAGTGACTTTGGAAGCACATGCTTCAGAAGGTATACCCCCAAGATGGAAACATCCTGGATTCCTCAGTACCATTGGAGAAGAACCACCTAAGACAGCAACCCGACACATTTTAGACTGATAAATGACAAAAAATAAATGTTTATTGAATTAAATCACTGAAACTCTGGAGTTTACTTGTTACCACAACATAGCCTATTCTATACTGACTATTATAATATTATCCCTTACGGAGGTTTAGGATATAATGTTTACTAAGTAGGCCTATGTCACCAGAAGAATGACCTCCTAACCAGGGTCATTTTCATCTACTTAGTAGACATTACAGCATTAGTGATAACAGGAAAGTAATAGATAAAGAAGAAGGACTTGGTTCTTGTTTCGAAAACTTCTTCCCGCCCCCAGTATGTTGGATAATATATATACTCTTGATTGCTGCAACTTCCCTAACTCTCATTCCTCTTGTGATGCCAACTAAAGACACAATTCTAACAGCCCTTTGAGTCCAGTCAAAGGACAAGTTTGTCGTGTTTCCTTGCCTTTAACAATTGAAAAGGCAATTGTGTATCATGACAAATGCTTGAAATTCTTGAAATATTTTAATGAGTTCCCTAGTTATACAGAGTGTAAAAAACTAAACCACTACAAAGGAGCAGGCTATAGTTTCTGTGGTCAGAGGCTATATTGACATGTAACTGCATCAAAAGGGTATTTCCTGCTGCTCCATGGAGGTTAGAGCCAGATACAGCACAATGGTGCCATATTGAAAGACTGGGGCTTTTCTAGGAAGCCTGAAGCACTAATCAAACATAAGTAGAAACCTTATCTAGCAACTGATGTGATAGCAATCCTGTATAGATATTTCCTTTTGTTTAAAGGAAACTTTTTCTTGTTGGTGGATGACTTAGGTTAATGGTCATTAGAGTGGTTTGCCAAATACTTCCAGTGCCCCTCCTTCCAGGCACATGGCAGGACTACATGGTCCAGCCTCTGAAGTGAGGCATGACAATGGGACTTGCTTTGACTAATAGTATGTGAATGGAAATGATGAATGTTACTTCCAAGTTGGAGCTTGAGAGCCCATGCATGATTTACCATCATCCCCTTCCTTTGCCACAGTAATCAACAAGACAAATGTTGAGATGGGCTGAGTAATGAGCCTGGGTCCCTGAGTGACTATGATGAGTGGACCTCCTACTAATCTAAATTGAACAGATAGCATAAGTACAAAATAAAACTTACGTTACAAAAAGCCACTAAAAATTTGAGGTCATTTGCTACCATGGCATAACCTAACCTGTCCTGAATAATAAATATACAGTTGGGATTATTACTTTTGCTTTCTTTTTTACAAGCCTATAAAGGGAACAATCAGCCACAGGCATGGAGGGATAAAAAATAGGTCAGATATTAGGACTGAAGCCTCATTCTTCAGCAGCTGGACAGGGCTATTCCCCTGCATAAAGCCCCTCTTAACTGACACCAAGGGACCCCAAACCTTGCCCCTGGAATTTCAGCAAAGGGTTGGTATCAGCAGAGTTTATCAAGCCCAACTTATATAAACCAAACAGCAGAACTGGTATCATAAACATACGCCTTCCTCCTAAGATGAGGCAAAATTCTTGGTCAATTTTACATTTCATTGGAGCTGTTCTATACCTCTGCTTTCTGTCAGGTACAATGATGAATTATAAGTTCATTTTTTTTTGCCATAGTTAATCAGTTTCCTTAGAGAACATTCAGGATGAGCCAATCTTGTTTCAAATCTCTAAAGGCAGAATTTAACTTAGTATAAGGAAAAGCTTTCTAATAAATTGAGCCATTTGAAAGTGGAATTCCCATATTGTCAGGTAAAGTAGGGTCACGCTTGGTTTGGATTCAGGTACTGGAGTCAGGATATACAATAAAAACTTATAATGATCAAAACTATTATTGAAAATTTGTTAAATAATTCAAAGGTAAGGTAACTATGGTTTTGTATATATGTGTACTATACTATCTTTTGATAGGTCCAAAATTGCCAATGTTTCCTCCAGCTTTGAAATAGGTTGCTATTTCCTTCACTGAGAATTAAAATTGTTAGCCTATAGTTATGAGGTAAGAAGTTACAAAAGTATTTTCCCCTGTGTGTTTATAGTGAAATGCACATAAGTTTAAATTAGCATGTAAGATAACTCCCTAATATCAACTTCATTGTAAAGAGTCAAGAAGACATTGGATTCACTGACTGTTTTTGGTAACATTTTGTAATCTCTAAACATTCAAGTCAAAAACTGATCTATAATACCCACCAAGAGGGAGTAGCATCATAGCAAGTGGGTGGACAAGTTCATATTTTGGTTCCCTAACGTCAGACATGTTGGAATGATAGCGAGCACAGCCAGCAGCTGCTCAGCCACTATCAAGCAAGACCACAGGCCTCGTGTTCCATTATCAAGACCCTGAACGCTGCCTGTAGCTCAGTTTCTGCCTTAAATCAGCCAAAACCAGTTAAAACCAGTTCACTAGCCACAAAAGTGTCCTCAAGTAACCTAAGCCTCATTATAATAGTCAAATCTCCATCCAGGGCAGGGCTTATCCTCTATTGTCTACACATTAAAAAAAAAAAAAAAGATTGCCCTCTAGTTCATAGGAACTGGACTCATAGGAATCAGTCACAGGGACCCTATAGGACAGAGTAGAACTGCCCCATAGGGTTTCCAAGGAGTGGCTGGGGGATTCAAACTGCCAATCTTTTGATTAGCAGCCAGGCTCTTAATCACTGCACCACCAGGGCTCCTTTTCTATACATACTAAGGGAAAAAAAAGTATTTTCTCTTACTGAGGCTACGTGCCATGATAACCTATGTAATCGATGGTGTTTATATGTACTTCCTTGTGAGAGACTGCATAAAATGCTCTGCCTCTCTTTGTTCTGGGAGAATCTGAGGAGCTTTCTCTCTGCTCCTTGCTTGGCTCTTCCTTCCTCCTCACCTCTGTGTGTCTTTATCAACAAGAAGCTGCACTGGGCAGGACCTGCTTTGGGTAACAGGAACCTGCTTGGTTCCCTGTCGCATAGTCCTTTCTCCCCAGGTGGCTGGGGCCACTTATCACCTTTTTGAAGACTGAATGATCTCTGGGCAATGCTGACCCTGGATGGGTGAATTAAAGGAGTTTAGGTGATTCGGCAACAAGTCACCCTGTCTCCTCATTCAACTCTGGTTTAGAGTTTCATGTCTAAAATCTCTCCACTGACAGACTTCCCTGTGCCAACTGGGAAACCAAAATATGAGCTCGGCTACCCATTTACTGTAGTGCTATCCACTCTAGATGGGAATTACAGAATCAGAGTTTTTGAGCTAAAATTCATCTCTATCTGATCTACAGTTATTGCTGGTTTCTAGGTTCTCAGTGATAGACTATCTCCATGCTTACCAGATACCCTTCTTGCTATCCCTTGTTGAACCTCCCCAATGCAGCCCCTTGCCTGAGCTATTACCTGCTATCTATCCCCAATACTCTGTCTATCCTGTTTTGCCAATTTGATTGTACCTTTCAACATCATTTGCTACTCATCTGCTTAATTTAGTCCTTAAGGAGATGGATCCCTTTACAGGTCCCGGCCATTCCTAATCCATCTCGTAGCACAGATAGTCCCATGCCCTAGTAACTCAGTAAGATGGTAACTGTCCTTCTGAAAGAAATTTTCATTTTAATCCCATGCCAAAAAGCATCATTTTCTCAGAGGCTCCTATATAAATAAGATCTGTTTTCAAAACTGGAAAGCACTCTTCCTCAACAACAATGGCAAGGAGAAACGGCTTACCTGTCCTTCACTGACCCTCGATTCTCTTTGTCCATCTCACAGATCTCAGGATTTGGAATTTGGAATGTATCCCTGTAACCTGCAACATCTTTTTTATGTGACAGGAAGCACTTGTGCCTTGCTGTGCTATTTTTATTGCAACAGTCAGAAAACCCGTATTTGTCAGCCATTCCTTGGCTGCTACAAACACGCTGTAGGAAGGTAATCATCTGTAGGAGGAAAAGGCAGCTTAAAGGAGAAGTGGTTGCAGTCTACATTCCTTACCACGGGAAAGTTAAGACAACTGAATGTATACTGTTAGGTTTTAGACCCAGTAAGCCTCAGACAGGTTTTTTTCAGCAAAAAGCTTTTAGGTTTTCACTCTAAATCCCCACATGATAGACCTTGACCAAATTTATCATTCTCCTCTTCTCTCATCTAATTACTTTATTTTCATACAGCTGAGGGTTATTAAAATAAACATAAGCCAGAATGTCCAGGGCCTGAGGAAATCAAGGTATTTGTAATGAGAACTATCCACCAAAAAGTAGATGGTAATCTGTTTTCCTGCTTCCTAATTGTTTTTAGATTGGTTTCCATGGGAACTTATTTTAAGAATTGAACTCTGAAGCAATGTACATTCAGTGTCAAATACCCAAATGGAAATGTAATAACTCCATTTCAAATACCTTTCAATGGCAATAAATGTGCTGAACACTGTAAACCCCAAACGACATTTATTTTCGAATTTGGAGGATAAGATCAGAAACAAGTCCTCTTCTGAAATGGAAATCAGTAAGAATCACTATAAAATAAGTGAGACTGGTCATTGGCAGAAGGACTTCATTTAAAATGTGTTTCTAATGAGACTGATGATTTTTCTATATCTGCTTAGAGTCTAGTCAAAGCTAGCCAGATTTTAGTTCCAGGAAGATGGAGTGTAACATCTATAAATAAAGAAAAAAACTACACGTTGATATTTTAAGTTGTTTGGTATGAGAATAATTGGTCCAAAAAATATGTGAATATAAGAATATGTTAGTGTTTATCAAGCATTTTCCAAAACAAACACTATTTTTAGTGAATTTTCTAATTACAAGATAGGTTTACTTTATGAGATAATAATAATTTGCCATGATTTTCTACTGACTGGGAAAAATAGCACATAATACTATTCACTTCTCTCTCTCTTTTTTCATATTCTTTAAGAAACTATTTTAAATTTGTAGTTCAATTTCCCTGGAACTTTTCTATGGGAATGTCAGACAATAGCATTCTAGTGACAGAGACAGAGCAATGAACTTAAATTGACCAATTGGTATTGTGGAATATGATTCATTCAGTTGAATGTTTGGATCTCAGAGCCCTATCTCCCAGAAATGAACTGATAAAATGTAGGTTTATAAACCTACAAAGATTATATATTGGGTGTGATCCATCTACATATCATTACCTTTGAGCTCTCTGCCTTCAACCAGCCCCCCTTATAACAGCATCTTCTGGTTACAATTTAGTTCAAAGAAGAGAAAAAGGCAGAACATGATCCACCTACCAATTGGTGAGAGCATTGTGAAGGTGGCTCATGTGGCTTGTGGCCCTTACACTTCTCTGCAAGATCTAGCAGCTCTTTAACAATGGTTTGTACTTCTTCATAAGTCGCTTTCTGAAGAAACTGGGCAACCATAATGCTGGTACTGAAACATAACACTTGGGAGCATTAACTACAGAATCAAACAATTTTTCTCCTTCATTTTTTGTTTGCATCATTGCCCTGTTCCCCTCATCTAAAGTAACTCATTAGTATGATTTCAACTTTTAGATAAAAGAATATTGATAATAAAACTCACATGTCTTTTAAGTTCTCCTCCAAATAATTCTGGCTATAAATGTGCTTCATGGCTGAAAATAAAAGAGATTTTATTTGCATAAGAGGGAATTTTCCAAATAGAAATGCCCCTTTTTTATTCTGAAATCTGTATTTAACCGCGTATAAATTTCTAGATCTATTTTTATTAACCACAAATAAATCAGAACAAGTTACCGGAATGTATCTTCACTAGTATTTAAACTATATTCTGTAAGTGACTTATTTTTATACTCAAATATATTCTGTAGTTGAAATCTATCATTGGTCCAGTAGCTGTATTTATTAGTGTTAACACTCCCAAATTAATTACACTTGATGATTTGGTTATTTGTTGCTGTGTTGTGGTTAGTTGCTGTTGAGTCAATTTCAACTCATGGCAACCCCATGTGTGCATAGTACAACTGCTCCACAGAGCTTTCAAGGCTGTGACTTTTCAGAAACAGATTGCCAGACCTGTCTTTCGAGGCACCTCTGTGGTGGGTTCCAACTGCCAACCTTTTACCTAGTAGTTAAGTGATCAATTGTTTGCTCAACCCAGGAACTCTAGCTATTAGCACGTCCAAGGAATATTAAGGAAATAAAAGTTTACCATTGGGAACAAAATATAAATATTAACACTCTTTCCCAGACTTAATTTGGCAGAGATAGTATCTCACATACCTTAATTTGCTCGTCACCCCTACCTTCTTCACCACCCCCACTCGCCACTGACACATCAGAGCACTTATCAAAATCCTTGGGAATACAGAGATCAGGTGCATTCCTTTTTATACTAATAGCCCATAACGAGCTTAGGGGCTATCTATTAAATAAAGAAACCATTATTATTCACTATATTAACATAGGGAAAAGAGACTTGGCTTTGGAGACAGCTGTTCTGAGTTCAGCTTCCAGCTCTGGTTCTGTATGTGACCTTGGGAGAATAACTCAGCTTCTCTGAATTTATGTTTCTCTATCTGTAAAATGTAAGTAAACTCTAGCACATTGGATGGTCGTTAGGATTAAATGAAAGCATCTTTGTGCAGATCTGAGTACAGTGCCTGGCACATACAGGGACTGAATTATGCAGCTCATAAAATTATTCCTACTATTATTCACACTGTTCCTGTATCTAAAATCATGTATTCAATTCTGAATACAAATTTGAAATGTAACATTCCCTCAGCTAAAGTGGAAGTCACCCAACAAAGCCTAAAGTAAGATATTCCTATGTGTTGCTCTCTCTGTATTTGTTCCATAAGTTAATTTCTAGTGATTGACAATAACTCTGTTGACAATGGTGGCCGCTGAAAAACATAAGCCTTCCCATATACATTTTAGCAGTGATCATGCGTTATCTCCTGGCACATGGGATTTACAGATTGTAAATAGCAGTGATTCCCTACCTGCATCTTGTAAACTTCTCTGAAGAGTTTTGCATTTAATGTAGCTTAAAAAAACAAGAAAAGATAAGAGTCTCACAGTCTTCATTATTTCAGATGAACATTTATAAAAAGTGTTCAATCTTTGGAGAGAAATGAACAATCTCTTTATATTCTTTTCAACTAATTACTATTAACAATTAACCTTTCTCTGGTGAACATGTTTTTTCCAAGCCACAGTAACCCTGATAAAATTGAGGAATTCATGACAATGAAAAAATTTTGGTGATGGATATTCATTAACGAATACTGGATTTAAAAACAAGCCATGTCAATCTAGTTGTTTTTTCAAGATTACAACATACATATCTTGTAATAATCAATAAACAGTTAGGGTAAATACTGGTCTGCAATATCTCATTTCCTGGAAAAATTTGTTGACATGTACAAAGTTTTAAAATTAGCAGGGGGGAAGGTAAAGACTTACTACTACAGACTCAGATAAATAGTCAGAGCCCAGGTTCCTGTGCTGGTCATATTTTCAACGCCCTGAGGAGTGTGTGGAGTTAAACCCAAAAGGAAGGGGACCTAATGTATTGAGTACTTACTATGGTCTGGAACTTTATAAGAGTTTTAGGTAGACAGCAAAATTCTGATCTCTTGAATGAGAAATTAAGACCCAGGGTCATGTAATTTACTCCTGGGCCTGCAGGGAGATACTCAGATCTGTCTAACTTCAGAGCCCATACTGCCCAAGAGCAAGTGTTAAAAGATGAAATCCCTTAAAAGCATATTGCTAAGTGAAAGACGCCAGTCTAAAAAAGCTACACGCTAGATGATTCCAACTATATGACATTCTAGAAAAGGCAAAACTATAGAAACAGTAAAAAGATCAGTGGTTCCCAGAGGTTCAGGGGGAGAGGAGGAGGGATGAATAGGTGGAGCACGGGGCATTTTTCAGGCACTAAAAGTGTTCTGTACGATACTGTGGAGGAAAAACCACTGTGGAGGAGAAACCACTAGAAAAGAAACTGCTTGGTTCTTTGCAGACTGGCTCTAGGCTACGGCAATTCTTAAGCAGGCTCACATTTAACTAGAAGATACGCCTAGGGAGAAAGTTTTGGATTTCTTCAGATTTTTCTGGATATATATGTGCCTTTCCAGATTAAACACTTGAGTGCCTCTAAACGTCCCAATTTCCCAAGCAAATCTTCTCTCTGGGTTTTCATGCCAGCGTCTCTATTACCCTCCATTTCCCCAGGTTGCCACAGGCTCATTTGTTCACCTCTTAGAGTGCCCCAGGCTATGCTCACCACTCCTCTGTCCCAGCAAACTCCAAGATGCATGAAACAGAGGCAAGCACTGTACTTTAGTGCTTTGAGTAGTCACTCAATTGATTCAGTCAGGCAAACACAATCCTCTCCATTAATAAAGTGTTCTCTGCTCACTCCTGTCATAAGATAATGATGTGTGCTCTATTTAAAGTGATATCAAGAGATTTATTGGAAGGAAAGACAACTCCAGTTGGGAGACACTGAGTCTGACGATGTGAAATCCAGCACACTCAGGGGAGTTAGAGGCTTCCAAACAATATTTATATTGTTACACCAGGAACTAACAACATAATATTCTGATTGGCTTACTAGTGATTTGTGAAAGTCAAAGGATGGTTAACAAAAGCGAGGGCTTTACAGAGATTGCTTTGAAGAGTCTTTGTTGACTAGTTGCTACTTGGCAATATGTGTGCTTTGTTAATTAGTTACCGCATGGTGACTATAGGGGTTTTCTTTATCGGTTTGATGTTGCTTGCATCAAGGCTCCTAGGAACAAACTGACAACATTCTTTCTTAATACAAGATTAAGTCTCCACAGTCTTCCGTAGATACAGGATTAAGTCTCCACAAGATTAACTGTTGCTAAGGCAAAAGCAAAGGTTCAAAATGGGTTTGGGCCCAAACTAACCATTTCAGATATGCCAAACACCTCTATTTTGAAAGCTCCTACCCTCCAGAAGCAGGGACCAACCTCCCAAGTTGAAAATGTGTCTGTCAGCGACATGGTGCTCAAGCCAGCATTAAGAAAAAAAAACAGAACAGTCTCAAAGCCTTCCTACCATTCTGCAAGTCTTTGCCCTGCTACCATAATCTCTCAGCTGTTCTCACCAGCATCTGACAAGGTGAGCACTGCTGTTTTCTGCTTGATTTTTTACTTTCTCTGTGGGAGGAGGGGATCATGAAGCTTCCTACTCCACCATCTTCATTCTGGTAACTCCTGAAAATTAATATTGAAAGCAGCCTCTTCACATCTGGGTGTGACAACCCTATAAAATTCCTACCAAAGCTGGGCTATCTTACGACCACATTCATGGAATCACCACATCCTAATACACACTTACCCTCTCTACTTGTCTTCTTACCCTATATTCTTTACCCAGTCTGCAAAAAATCACTAGTACACACTTACCCTCTCTTGTTGTCTTCTTCCTCTCCCTTTTACCCTTTTTTTTTTTTGTCCCCACTCCCATTGTTTTTCTAGAAGACACAGCCCCAAAATGCCAATCTCATGGTAGGGCTGCGTTTCAGCAGGAGACTCGGGAGTAACAGCCTCTGGAAGAATCTTGCCTTGGCTCTTGGATGAGAATACTAGACAAGAAGGTGCTGTAATTTATTTAGGTGTCACTTGATTTTTTACTGACCGAGGAATGCCACTGCCTTAGCAATTTGCAGAGAAAACCATACTGTTACTAAATTGTCACTATTTAACTCCTAAAACTGCCAAACTTGTCTCAATGTAGACCATAGGTGATTTCATCCCTTAGGTTAATTTGGGGAAAAATGTCCTGGAGTGGTGGGGAAGAGAAAGGTGCGTGAAAGTTTGAAGTGAAAATTCTCAGATACTCTTCTTTTTTCTCTTTTTTTAAAACACATATTCTCCGTTTAATTGTAAAGTCATGCAGTTCACAGATGTTGACTTGGTAAGTGTGAACAAGGCAATCATAAAATTAAACCACAGAGTATTCAATGTGCCAGGTACCAGAGCATGAGTTTTCAAGGAAGCGACACCTTCCCACATCACTGGTGAAGAGCAAAAAAGTCAAGGTTACCAATCACTTCAACAGTGCAAAATCCAGTAGTTAATTATGTCTATAGCTTACCTGAATTCTCTCAATAGAATTTGACACAACTGATTATTTCCTTTTCCTTGAAATATTTTCCTCTCTTGGCTTCTGAATTTTTCCTCCAATCTCAATTGTCTGATTCTCCTCAGTCCCCTTTGCTGCATCCTCTTCAACAATCTGACTTCTAAACATTGGAGTCCCAAAGCATCCCTTCCTGAATCTAAACTTCCTCTCTAGGTGATCTCATCCAGACTCAGTACATTAAATACCTTGTAGAGGTTTGAGAACACGTACTTATATATCTAGTCTGGATTTCTTCTTTAATTTCTAGACTCATATATCAGCTTCCTCCCTGACATCTCCGCGGTGAGAATGCATGGACAACTTAGCATATTCCAAACTGAGCAAAGCCTTCAAGTTATGTCTAGAATTTGACTATTTCTCAATATCTCTAGTACTGTTTTCAAATTGCTTTTCTCCCTTTTTTTAGATTTCTTTCTTATATTTGTTCAATATATGATTCCAAAGCTAAACTCTATAACAAAGTGTATGCAGAGAAGTCTCACTTCCATGCCTATCTACTCCACCTTATCCCCCCTTTCTCCTATAGATAAAGCTTTTCTTAGTTCTTTTTTTACCCATCCTTTTATTCATTTTAAAAATCTAAACAAATATGTATACACTCACTCCTCACTTATCAGCATGGTTAATTTCCAAAGACCAGGTCATTAAGTGAAAATTGCTGTTATGCAAAAATGAAAGATGACCACATCAGATCACAAAATAGAGGATGACTACATCACTACGTAACTGCCAAACCACTGAGAATCATGGCCTAGTCAAGTTGACACATAACCTTAACCATCATAGCCAGTGTTACTCTCACCTTGCACCTCAGCATTAGTTATTGCCAGACATATGTCATTAATGCACAAAGTAGTTAGATAGTATATTTTTTGCCATTATCATAAATGTAAAATATTGGGTAATGAGGTAGTTGATAAGTGAAGAGTAGGTGTAATCATATTCTACCACCATAACCTTGCTAAAAAACAAGAATTTGCATATTATATATATTGTTCTATACCTTGATTTTTTTGCTTAATAATACATCTTGAAGATCATGTCATATCATGCATATTTCTTTCCTCAGTTCTTTTAATAGTTTCATAGAATTGCTTTGTGTGGAAGTGACATAATTTATTCAACCAATCTTCTGTTGATGAGCATTTGGATTTTTTCCAAACTTTTGCTAATGTAAATAATGCCACAATGAATAATCCAGTGCCAAAGTCATTTTGTAATATTGGCAGTGTATTTTTAGGATACATATCTATTAGAGGGTTTGTTGGTTCAAATGAAAAATGCATTTTTTTTAGATATTGAAAAATTCCTCTACATAGATATTGCACCATTTTGCTTTCCCATCAGCAATGGATGAAAGGACCCATATCCCTATAGTTTTATCTTAATCACATGTTGTTGAACTTTTAGATTGTTGCCAATCAGCTGAGAACTGGTGATATGGTATTGTTTAGATGTGTATTTCTCTTATTATGAGCTTAGTTTCTTATGTTTAAGGCTCAATTTTTTTTCGTTTTGTGAACTCTGTTCTTATTCCCAATTTTTTATCAGATTATTGGTCTTTTTTTTCTCTTCAGTATTTCAGGAGCCCTTTTATACTATAATATAGCTTACAGATACCTTTTCTCAGCTTTTTATTAGTGTTTTGATTTTGCCTATAGCATTTTTCCCCACACAAAATCTTTAAATATATTCTTATGTAATTGAATTTATTACTGCTTTTGTATTTGCATCATAATTAGGAAAGTTTTCCCCGCTTCAAGATTACAGAGAAATATATTAGTTTCCTAGGTCTGCCATACTAATTCACCACAACTGAGTGGCTTAACACAACAGAATTATTCTTTCACATTTCTGGAAGCCAGGATGTCAAATGAAGGCATTGGCAGGTTGGTTCCTTCTGGAAA